AATGAATAAGGGTCCTAATTTCTCCACATCCTTACCTACACTGGTTATTTTCTTTAAAAAAAAAAATGAATTATTATAGTGGCTGTCAAATGATACCTCACTGCAGTTCTGATGTGCATTTCCCCAATGACTAATGATCCTAAACATCTTTTCATGTGCTTATTGGCCACTTGTACATCTTCTTTGGAGAAATGTCTGTTGAAATCCTTTGCTCCTTTAAGAAATTGGGTTATTTGTCTAACTGTTGAATATCTTTTTTTTTTTAAGTAAGCGCTATACCCAATGTGGGGCTTGAACTCACGACCCTGAGATCAAGAGTTGCAAGCTCTACGGATTGAGCCATCCAGGCACCCCAAATATCTTTTTTTAAATGTTTATTTTTGAGATTGAGAGTGCAAGTGGGTGGGGGAGGGCAGAGAGAGGGGGACAGAAGATCCGAAGCAAGCTCTGCACTGACAGCAACAAACCCAATGCAGGACTCAAACTCACCAACAGTGAGAGCATGACCCAAGGCAAAGTCAGACACGTAACCAACTGAGCCACCCAGGTGCCCTTCTTTTTGTTTTTAAGTTATATAAATTCTATATGTTTTCTAGGTATAAGTCATTTGCCATTTATATACATAGCACAGGTGTATTTTCCTATGCTATGACTTTGTTTTTTTACTCTTTAATGGCATTTTGGAAAGAATATAAGTTATTCATTTTAATTTAGTCCCATTCATCAGTCTTTTCCTCATGTTTAGTTTTATGTCCAATTTAGGACATCTGCCCTTTGTCTAAAATCCTGAAATTGTCTTCTATGCTATCTTCTAGAAGGTAAACTATTTTACATTTCACATTCAGATCTGTGATCATTCTGGAATTTGTTTCTTTCTCTTTTTTTTTCAAATTTATTTTTGAGAGAGAGAGAGTACAAATGGGGGAGGTGCAGAGAGAGAGAGAGGGGGACAGAGGATCAGAAGCAGGTTCCCTGCTGGCAGCAGAGAGCTTGATGTGGGGCTTGAGCTCACACACCGCGAGATCATGACCTGAGCTGAAGTCAGAGGCTTAACCGACTGAACCACCCAGGTGCCCCCGGAATTTGTTTCTGCATATAGTGTGAGGTTGGATCTAGATTAAATTATTCCATACAAATATGAAGTTCACCCTGCATCATTTATTGAAAATAACATCCTGGGGCGCCTGGGTGTCTCAGTCAGTTAAGTGTCTAATTCGGCTCAGGTCATGATCTCAAGGTTAGTGGGTTCCAGCCCCACATCAGGCTCTGTGCTGACAGCTCAGAGCCTGGAGCCTGACCCAGATTCTGTGTCTCCCTCTCTCTTTGCCCCTCCTCTGCTCACACTCTGTCTCTCAACAATAAGTAAATGTAAAAAAACAGTTTTAAAAAAAGAAAATAACATCCTATACCTACTAAACTCTAGTGCCACTTTTACCATAAATCAACTGACCACATATGTGTGGGTCTGTTTTTAGAGTCTATTGCATTAGCCAACATGTCTATCCTTACACTAACACCACAACATCTTAATTATTATAAAATTCAAGTAAGACTGGCCATTTATTACAATAAGTCAGCCAACTTTGTTTATCTTCCTCAAGATTGTCTTGGCTCTTCTTAAGCCTTTGGATTTCCATATACATTTTAGAATTAGCTTAACAGTCTCCACTCCCCGCAAAGCTCTATAGGTCAATTGGGAGAATGGACATCATTACAATATGGAATTAGCTTAATAGTATCCACCCTCCCAAAAAATGTTCTATAGATCAATTGGGAGAGTGGACATCTTTACAATGTGGTCTCCAATCCATGAACATGGTCTAATCTTTCCTTGTATTTAGGTCTTCTTTAATATATTTCACTAATGTTGCATAGTTTTATGTGTGGAGATCCCAGGGAGGGAGGAGGTCATAAGAACTCCAAATGGTAGCCAAGTTAGACAAAGTTGTGGGTAACCTGGTACCTACTACTTGCAGTTGGCATCTGAAGAGAAGCAGCAGTCTTGAGGGACTGAGCCCTTAACCTGTAAAATCTGATGCTATGCCCAGGTAGACAGTGTGAGAATTAAATTGTAGGACATCCAGCTGGTGCTGCAGGATTGCTTGCTGTGGGAAAAATCCCTACATATTTGGTGACCAGAAGTATCAGAAGTATAGTGTTCTTTGAATAATAAAGGAGACAAACAGAAGGGAAATACTGTGTTTTTCCTTCTATAGATGTCAATTTGCTTTTTTCACTCTCATTTCTCATGAGTATACAGAGTTTTGCAAGAGCTACATGATGTGTGATACATAGCAACAGACTAAATGTAGAAGCAGATATGAGAATCCAGTATCTTCTATTCAGCTGGACATGAAGAGATTTGCAAAAAGGTAAATCAATGCTACTCTGCTCACAAATGTTTTGGAAAATATAGTTATTTTCATGACAACAACTAATATTTGTATTAGCATGTAAAGGGTTTTTATTGGTTTTTTTCAAACTAATAAATAATTTTTTCAGCTTTAATCCCAGTACAGAAAATACCAATAGATACAACTCATATAAGCAAAAGCTTCTGGGGGGATTCTAAAATAATTTAAGAATGAAAGGGGTCCTGAGACCAAAAAGTTTGAGAACTGATGTTTTATAGTCATCATCAGTCCTTACGTAATGCTCGTCCCTGCCAGTCGATAACAGGCATTCTGTGGGCCCTCTCCTGCCACACACTGGGCATCTGAAGAACTGCAGGGCATCACCTACTTGTGGTCCTACTATTTAATCATTAAGATGTACCTTATCTTCAGAGGTCTGAGCATCAGTCATGCAACTCTCCCTTCTCTAAGTCCTGTAACACTACCTCTTCCCTATTGTCTTCCACGTCTAGAAGTAGGAGTGGAGTTACCTTAGCCTTTACCCTTTGCTCTTACAGGATTCCAATCCCTGTTTCAAATCCCCTCTGTTGGAAATATCTGTGGTGTCTATTTTCCTGACTGAACTCTGATTGATATGCCTGCTATACTGAATATCCTCTCTTTAGATGGCTCTTAGAGGGCCCAGGAGCCCTATAAGAAGTTTCCCTTCTTAAGCTAGTTTTGGGGGGTGTTTTTTTCCTTGCAATTAAACCATCTGTGATTAAGGCATAGGGTTCATGCTTTACCTGCATCCACACACATTCCATCCCTCCTTCCCAACATGAAGAGGTTGAGGGATGGCTCCCATGTGCTCTGAATCCCATTCATTCTTCTCCTCCTTCTCCTCCTCCTCTTCCTTCCTCTTCTCTTCCTCCTTCACCACCACTACCACCATCACCATCATCTTATATAATACTCACTATGTGCCAGGCACAGTTCTAAGCATTTTACATACATTAACTTACTTAATCCTCACAACTAAATGTGGGAGCAACCATTTTTATCCCTATTTTATTTTATTTTTATTTTATTTTTGAGAGAGAGAGCCCATGCACACATGTGCCCGCAAGCCAGGGAGGGGCAGAGAGATAGAGAGAGAATCTGAAGCAGGTTCTGCACTGAACCCACAAACCACAAGATCATGATCTGAGCTGAAGTCAAGAGTCAGAGGCTTAACCAACTGAGCCACCCAGGCACCACAGGAGAGAGAAAATCTTAAGCAGGCTCCATGCCCAGCACAGAGCCTGACATGGGGCTCGATCCCACAACTCTGGGATCATGTCCTGAGCCAAAATCGAGTCGGAGGCTCAACCAAGCCACCAAGCATTATTAACCCTATTTCAAAGGTAAGAAAACATGCACAGAGAGATTAAATGACTTGCACATGGCAACACATCAAGTTAGCGGCATGTCAGGGATTCAAACCTAGGTAGCCTGGTTCCAAGTCCCAGGAATGTTGATGCAGTCCACATTTATTGGGCACTTACTTTATGTCAGTTCCTGTTCTAGATATTAAGCCTATAGGGATAACAAACAAATGTTCTCGGCCCCACTAAAACATCTCTCCCCCATCTCCATCCCCTCTCTCACGGGTACATTGTCTATCTCATCTTTCCCACCAAAACCAAAACAAACAAAACGCAAAAATCCACTCCTCTGGGCCACTTCATCCCCTTCAAACTATGAATCTGGGTTGGGGCACCTGGGTGGTTTAGTTGGTTAAGCATTCAACTTCGGCTCAGGTCATGATCTCATGGTTTGTGAGTTCAAGCCCCACACCAGGCTCTGTTCTGACAGCTAGCCCAGATCCTGGAGCCTGTCTTCAGATTCTGTGTCTCCCTCTCCCTGTGTCTGTCCCCTGCTCACACTGTCTCTTTCTCTCTCAAAAATAAATAAAACATTAAAAAAATTTTTAAAGAACTCACTTTAAAGTGATTAGTGATGGCTAATGGAAGACATTTTCCCTCTCTTAAAGTTAACTAATTGGGGAATTTAACTACAGCTACAAAATCCGTCCACGGCAGTACACAGATTAGTACTTGAATGAATAACTGGGGAAAAGTGTGTGTACACCAGGGAGCAAGAGTCTTGGGCTCATCTTGGAACTCTGCCTACCACGATGGTGATTTCCCATTTCCATCATTTCATCTACACTTATTAGACGACATTCTACTTTAAGACCTTCCCCTTTCCACTTCTTTCTCTTTCTTTCAGTCAATATGGACTAAAGAATTCTTCTCTAAATCAATATTTTATAATCTATTATTGGCATTATTCCTTTTTCCTTCCCTCTTGTTTATAATCTCCTAGTTATTTTACAGGACTTGTCTACTTGCTCCCTTCCATCTAGAGGTGACTCTGGTACTGCCCTCCTGTGGGGTCTGCAGATTAGGGTCTGCAGCAAGGAGGAGCCAGGATCCCATCTTAGAGTTTCCAACCAATCCCTATCAGGACGGGTGGAGCCAACGTCCTGATAGAGCATGGAACCTGGCTCCAAGCTCAGAGTCCTGGAGAAGCAGAGAATTGTGGGACCACGCCCCCTTCTGCAGACAGCCAATCCGGACTTGAGGTACTGATTTCTCCATTGTGAAGAAGTGGCCTTTTAACATTTGGAGTCTTGGGATGCTGGAGTCTCGAGTTTAAACTAGGGGAGGTATGGTGGCTTTGGCTCTCTGTTTCCAAGACACTCAGGATCTGTCTTTGTCTGGGTGGAAAGATCATGCCCCACAAACAAGCACCACCGGCTAAAGCCGCCCCACCCGCTAAAGCCGCCCCACCCGCTAAAGACGCCCCACCGGCTAAAGATGCTCCACACGCTAAAGATGCTCCACACGCTAAAGACGCCCCACCCGCTAAAGATGCTCCACACGCTAAAGACGCCCCACCCGCTGCAGGCGCCCCGCCAGCTAAAGACGCCCCACCTGCTGGAGCCCCGCCTGCTGCAGATGCCCCTCAGAAGCCACCAGAGAAAACACAGACACCTGAAGAACTGGCATTGTATGCCCCGACTTACAAATGTTTCACCATCCTGGCCGTAATTCTTTTCCCTCCCCTGGGATTAATAGCTATGTTCTTCAGTTACAAGGTAAAACAACGCTTTTGCCATGGCCCATCCTGCCCTCTACCTCCCCTTGCACCTGTTTCTGCCCTGGGACCTGGGTAGGGGTTTTCCCTCAATCACCTCTGGTCCCCAGCCCTTTCCCAAGGGTGTCACAAGGTTCGATTCAGAATCCCACACCTAACATCCCATCCCTACAGACTTTGCAGGCCAACAAGAACAGCGAATGGGAAGAAGCTTATGTCAAGTCAGGCCAAACTGTTTGGATGGATCTATTTGCCATACTCATTGGTTTAGGCATCATTTATGTCTATACGCTATTTATGTGAAGGCCATGCCAAGTAGTCCATGAGTCCACCTCAAGTAGGACTTACCCACCAAGACCCTAACCATCCAAATCAGCCACCATGCAAGAACCAACAGCTAACACATCTTCTAGCCAGAAAACCTAACAGCCAAGGAACTCAACATCCAAGCAACCCACTAGCCCAAGGATATCATGCTACTTCATCCTCTTGGCCACTAGAGCCATCTTCATCCAAATTGAGGGTCCTCACTTTCATGCCTTAGATGTGCTTAGCTGCATGATACCGGGATGCTCTTCCAGGAAAAAAAAAAATTAAACCAATAAAAATGAAGGCAATGTTCCAGCTTCTCATGTGTGTGGGTATGTGTATTTGTTTCTGAGTCAGTGTCTGTGTTTTGCTGGAACTACATGTTTCCTATCCCTGCTTTTTCTAGGCAAACAGAACCCTCCTCCAGCTTTTGAGATCCAAAAGTCAAACTGTTAAGAGAAGAATGGAAAGACCTCAAGAAATAAACTATAGATTTGGTGGAAGAACCGATGAAGATTACCCCTCCCCCAATCCTGAAAGGAATAGAGGAAGTAGAGAAAGAGATTATATGCAAGTATATCCCTACGGAGGTCCCTGAGGCTTGCATCTCAGGAAGGGGTGTAGTGTCAAAGACCCCAGATACTATTTGTATTACTTCTTCACAAATAAGTCCTAAAAAGGCTACACAGTTACAAAGAAAATATGCTGCATGGTAAGGAGGTCTAGGAAGAAATGATCCTAGAGAGCCAAGTAGGGTAGCCCATGTTGCAGTTTGGTGAGAAGGAAGTGGGGTTTACAGAAATGTAAAGTACAAGGGTGGGAGTGACTAGCAGAGAGGAGCCAGGGATAACACAGGAGTCATCCAGAATGAAGGAGAACAGAGATCTAGGCTGACGCCATGGATGACAAACACTGAGGGGTTCCTACTGGTACCCTAACTTCATGAACAACCCCAAATTCAGACCTAGACTTAGCAGAACTAAATTTCCACAACAAAGGAGAATGGGAATTATCAATAGAAAGGTTAAGTAGCTGTGGAAAAGACTGCTAACTCTATGAAGGCTCATCTTTTCCTCCTGGGAGCACTACTAAGCCACATTTCTTAGATTCCCCTATGTGGCCATGAAACTCTTTGGCTCTATGGAATCACTTCTATCAGAAGTGCCACAAACAGCCCTGGCTTTAAAACATCTCCCATGGGCACTTTCCTCCATACACTTCTTCCCTTAGCTGACTGGCCAACTGACACCCATGGTGCTTTGAAGGCCACAAGACATAGAGAGGAAGAACTCTCATCAGCCTCCATCTTTGAACCATTGCAGGAACAGCCACTTTTTCCCCAACTGCCCCCCTGGTTGAGCAGGAAATATGTATTGTGCCATCACGTGTCTGATCTATTTTATAACTCCGAACATGCGGGAAAATAGTTACATTTCTCAGACATCTGGGGTTGCTACTTGAAATTCATGCCCAACAGATAGATCCATTTTGTTGGGCAGTTTATAGGAAATAATGAGTGAAGGAAACAACAAAGGTCTTAGTCCATAGTTCACCTTAATCTTAACTGTCATGATGTTATGTCTGTCTCCTCCAAGATCCTGGGTATCAGTGTAAATTATATATGCTTATGGGACAATGGTCCATGTTATGGGTGTGTCTAGAGAGGGGATTATTCCTGGTTGTCTGCTGTGTTGGTAGGTCTAGAAAGTCAGTCATGCCTGTCCCTCCCCAGAGAAGCCCAGAAAGCTGGACCTGTCACATTCAGCTGCAAAGCCATGTGGAATTAGAATGGCCCATGTCAGCATGAACAGCAAGGTCCAAAAAAAGTCACACTGTGCTACAAGACTTGGAAAGCCAGCCAATCTTCCCCATTCCAGCTGACTCCCCCTAACCTGTATTTATTTCTCAGGCATTTATCTGGCATTTACTATCATGTAAATATAAAGCAAATAAAATTTATAGTCTTGCATCTTGAAACATCATCAGTTTAATGACTATAATGACACATGCAGATTTAACAATTTTATCCACTCCTCTCTCTCTCTCTCTCTCCACTGTCTCCCACAAAATGAGATCACAATTTTTAATTCAATTTACAGGCTTTCCATTTCATTATGCCTGTATAAATATACTCTATTACTGGACTATTCTGGTGATTACGTACTCTTGCTGAACTAATATTTGAACTCAGCAGCCAACCAACCCAGCTACCTGCAATCCTTCAGATTTTTCTTCCTTTTCTTTGTCTTCTCCCTCCTCTTCCTCCACCTTCTTCTCCTCCACATTCTGCTCCTCCTCCTCCCCCTGATCCTGCTCATCTTCCCCTTGTGTTTGTTTTACTTCCTCAGTTATCTATGTGCCCCTTCACTAATCATTCCCAAACTCTCCAGAAGAATTCTATCACTGCTTTCAACAGAATTTCCCCATGGTCAAGTAGGCCAGGTAATTTTTCAATTCTCTTTCTCCCTTGGATCATTAAACCTGTTTATTTATTTACTTGGGAATTTTTTATTTACACAATGTTCACAAAAATACATTCTCGAGTAATACAAAGAATATGGAAGAGCTCATTTTATGGCTGGCTGTGGTATCATTTTCCCCTCTCAAAGGTAATTGCTGTCCATTTTTTGTTGTAACTCTTTCTAGTTACCTTTCTATGCATTTCCATGTGCATTTGTGTCCACACACATTGACATTATACTGGTTTTCTGCTTACTGCTAGGTCTTGATGATCTTTTCCTATTAGTATTGAAGATCTTCAATACTCAATGCCCTGTATTCTACTTTGAATTATCCCCCTCTGTCTTCTTCTGGCCCAAAGGGTACATTCCCATGTCCTCAGACCTGCCTTTTCTCTCTCAATAATTGCTCATGGATTCCAGCACTTGGCATGAATCTGTATGCCCTTCTTCCTCCTGGGAGGATAAGGATATCCTGAGCAGAGTAAGAGGGAGAGTATCAATAGAATAAACAGCTACAGGAGAGCAAATTCTGTTCTATACCATGAACTAGTTTTACAAATTTTATTTCTAACCACTGAAAACTTAACAAACTTTAGGACACTCACACTGTGACATTATTACCATATCCTATGATTTTGATTCTTAATCTCTTACAGTCTTCAATTCTGATGATCCATTTATTGTATCACCCTTACAACAATACTTAAACTGATGTCCTTATTTTCTGGAAGAAACATATTCTTTTGAATTTTCTTTCCTGTTTTTTTTTGTTTTGTTTTATTTGTTTATTTATTTTTAATACTTTTTAAATTTTTTTAATGTTTTATTTATTTCTGAGAGAGAAACAGCATGAGCAGGGGAGGGTCAGAGAGAGAAGAAGATACAGAATCTGAAACAGGCTCTAGGCTCTGAGCTAGCTATCAGCACAGAGCCCAACGTGGGGCTTGAACCCACAAACTGTGAGATCATGACCTGAGCTGAAGCCAAATGCCTAACTTACTGAGCCACCCAGGCGCCCCTATATTTTTTATTTTAGAGAGAGAGCATGCACGCAAGCAGGGAAGAGGGGCAGAAGGAAAGAGATAGAGAATCTTAAGCAGGCTCCATGCTAAGCATGGAGTCCCACAACCCTGGGATCATGACCTGAGCCAAAAAAAGAGTCAGACACCCAACCAACTGAGCTACCTAAGTACCCCTGAATTTTCTTTGTTAAGTTAGAAGGAGATTACTAGCATGAAATCCATGGATATGTGGATTAAAAAAAGAAAAATAATACTTCCCCAATAACCCATGATAGAGCTAGGTTTCTTATTTAAATGAAGAGCTTGAGAATCCGAGTCTCATTTAAATCAAGAGTACACTAGGTCTCTAATTTTAAAAATTTTTTATTGAGATGCATGAGTGTACAAATCATATGTGCATACCAATGAATTTCCACACACTTTCACAAAACACACACTTATGTAACCTGCTCCTGAAACAAGGCACACACCAGAAGATTACTATACCCTCTTCCAGTCACTTCCCACAAAAGATAACTCCCACCCTAACATGCTCTCCCTTTTTAAAGTAACTGCCTGGTGGGCCATCTCAGGGAATGCCAAATTTACTAATGGGACTTCCTGTTGATGGATATTTAGATTATTCCTACCTTTTGGCTGCCACAAACCATTGTGCAAAGAACATCCCTGAGCATGCTCCTCTGTTCACATGAGCAAGATTTCTCTAGAATAGAGTCCAAGAAGTGGGATTATACGGTTGATTTGAAGAGTGAATTTGAAAATAGAAATCACACAATTTGAACAACACAGAGAGAGAAAACATTAAAACAAAAATTAACACAACCTCAGGGACCTTGGAACAAACATGTGTATATCATGAGAGTCCCAGAGGGAAACTTTATATAGTGTGGTTAAAAAAAAAGTTTTTAAAAAGAAAGAAACGATGACCAAATACTTCCCAATTTGCCAAAAGACTTAAATTTACACACTCAAAAATCTCAATGGCCCTCAAAGAAAAAGAATCAATTAAAAGAATCTATGGTCAGACCATATTACTCAAACTGCTTAAAACCAGAGGCAAAGAAAAAGTTATGAACACATCCAGGGAAAAAATTATATATTGCATAAAAAGAGACAAAAATTCAAAAGACTGTAAAGGTCTTACCAGAAATCTTGACTGCCAAAAGGAAGGGGAACAATATTTTTAACTGCTGGGAGAAAAGAACTGTCAACCCAGAATTCCAAAACTAGTGAAAATGTTCTTCAGGAATGAAGGTAAGAGGAAACTAGCAGAATACATTGTCACAGACCCAGTCTAAAATAATGCTAAAGTTAATTCTTGAAGAAGGGAAATGACACTAGAGGAAAACTTGGAATATCAGGAAGAAGTAGACGCAATAGAAATGGTCAAGATCTGGGTAAACATGAAATATTCTTCTTTTGATTCTTGAAAATATAGGGGCTCCCGGGTGGCTTAGTCGGTTAAGCGTCCTACTTTCGCTTGGGTTGTGATCTCGCGGTTCATGGGTTCGAGCCCCGCATCGGGCTCTGTGCTGACTGCCAGCTCAGAGCCTGGAGCCTTTTTCAGTCTGTGACTCCCTCTCTCTCTGACCCTCCCCTGCTCACACTGTCTCTCTCTCTCTGTCTCCTAGAAATAAATTTTAAAAAAAAAATTAAAACATTTTTAAAAAAAGAAAATATATATGACAGTTGAAAGCAAAAAATATAATGTTGATGAGATTTTTCAATATATGTAGATGTAATACATACAGGAACTAAAATATAAAGGGGGCAAGGTGAAGGGACCAATATGGTGGCAGGTTGCTATATTCTACGTGAAGTTGTAAAATATTAATTCTA